TGTTCTTCTTCGATGGACTATTGATGTTCTGACTAGTTCTATGGAACGCCTACACAATGTCTTTGGATCTCTTTGTGATTTCCGTCGCCGGAATTTTGTTTGAGGTTTCTGTGTGAGATTCTGATGATTTGCTAGTTGAAGGAGATCGAGTATTGTTTTGCTGTTTGTTTTGTACTTGTTTGAAGTTGGAGAAATTGTATCTAATGAAGTGCGGATGAATTTTTTGTTGTTTTTGTTTAGTGTTCCTTTTATTTTGCTTCTCCTTGTGTTTTCTGGTACTGTTAATAATTTTTGTTTGAGTTTTGTAATTTTTTTTTTTGAGAAAGTGTTTTTTGCGATTTACGCGGCATGTAAGGTCGGATTATTGATGTTAGAATTAAGTTCTGAAACTTATTAACTATCTGTCGTAAGTAGCTGGCCTACTATCTTGTGCATTAAGTAGCAATAGGATTTGCGATATCTTGCAATTAATGCATGTCGAAGGTCTCATTTAATTTATATCTACCACTTGTTCCGAGAGATTTCTGTTCTTTGTTATCAATTGTTTCGTGTAAATATGCTTTCAGAATTAATCTCGAGGAGCAAGATTTCCAGCGGCTGGGGGTTTATTTTGTTATTGCTTAATAATGGTGGCTTGGGATTAGAGCTATTGGTTATTAGGCAATTGTTTAATTGCCAGAATGAAGAAAAATTATGGCCGGGTTCTGGTTGCGTCCTTGTCTATGCTGTTGTTGATGGTTTATGTTATCTCAAGAAGTTCAACTCGGCAAAATTATTATGCAACGCCCTTGTACAATTCCGTTGATCCTCTTCAGTGGCTCAATCCTGCAGTTCCAACTGCAGTACAAAATCCTGAAATTGCATATCAAGTGATTTCTGCTGACTCTATAATATCCAGTCTGTTCACTCCGGGGAACTTTACTGATGGAGAGAATCAAGCTCTTCAGACTTGGAACCATTTAAAAACCATAATTAATCATACACGAGGTTTGCCTAATTCCGTTGAGGCCATTAAGGAAGCTGGGGGTGTATGGGATATTCTCAAGGCTTCGATTGAAAAGGAAAGGCTTGGTTATACAAACGGAAGTGCACGTGTGAAAGAGAAGCAATGCCCTCATTTTCTAACCAAAATGAATGCAACAAAGCTTGACCACAATGGTCATAAGCTGAGAATGCCATGTGGTCTGACTCAGGGTTCTTCAATCACAGTCATCGGCATTCCAGATGGACTTCTTGGAAATTTTCGAATTGACTTAACCGGGGAACCACTGCCTGGGGAGCCTGATCCACCCCTCATTTTGCATTATAATGTTCGGCTTTTGGGGGATAAGTTAACTGAGGATCCTGTAATTGTTCAGAACACCTGGACAGTTTCTCATGATTGGGGAGATGAGGAGCGATGTCCATCCCCTGATTCTGATGAAAATGGAAAAGGTATAAACGTGTATCATATTTCTTTTGAATAATTTCATGCATTCACTACGTAAAATAACTATTTTAGTCAAGATTATGTTTTAAAAATATGGAGTCTTGAAATGTGTTGCTTCTATTTTAAAGCTATTCAAGTTTGATTACATACAATCTTACCTTGTGGCTCGCTGATGTTAAAGAACATTGACTCGAGTTGCACGATGCGCACGTAATTGATTTATCAAGCATTGTTTCCTTTCACTTTGAAATTAATGTTGTTGGTTTTATATCCTAGTGGATGAATTGGAGAAATGCAACAAGATAGTGGGCAATGTCGAAACTCGCCTTTCTGGTTCGAACAAGAATTTCAACAAATCAAAATCTATGGTGCAAGGAGCTAAAACAAGACCGTACTTCCCCTTCAAACTTGGTCAACCATTTGCTGCTACACTTAGAGTGGGAGTAGATGGAATCCAGATGACAGTTGATGGAAAGCATGTTACTTCTTTTGCTTACCGCGAAGTATTATCACTCATTCTTATATTCGTTATCTTTACATTGATCTCTGAACAATCAATCTAATGCTGTTTTGGCTTGCCTCTTATTTAGACTTTGGAGCCATGGCTGGTCAGTGAAGTGAAGATTTCAGGAGACTTGAAATTAATTTCTGTCCTGGCTAGTGGTTTGCCCACATCCGAGGATTCTGATCATATTGTTAACATAGAAGCATTAAAATCTTCACCCCTCTCACCGGCAAAACCATTGGATCTTTTCATTGGTGTTTTCTCCACAGCAAACAATTTTAAATATCGGATGGCCATTCGGAGAACCTGGATGCAGTATCCTGCAGTACAGTCAGGGTCTGTTGCAGTTCGCTTCTTTGTTGGGTTGGTGAGCTTCGCATGTACTCTTCTTTGATCGAAAAGAATCCCATACAATCAGGACTTGGTTTCATAAGATTCTAAGTTTTAGCTGTTCGTCACATGAACCACAATTTATTTCCCAAATTTATCTTGAGGCCACTTCTAAGTCTGCTCATAATGTTTTCAAGTGAAGTTGAGTGAGCTGCTCGAGAAGCCTGCTACTCTATTTTTAAAAATCTATTGGTTGGGTACTTGAATTGGAATGATTCATCAGCTGTTCATAAGAAAAGTGTGAATTCATAAAGAATACAGTTTTAAGTGGCTTAAAATCAGTTTGCTTCATTTGCAGCATAAGAACCAAATAGTCAATGAGGAACTGTGGGATGAGGCCCGAACATATGGTGACATACAGATGATGCCTTTTGTTGACTATTACAGCGTTATTACCTGGAAAACGTTGGGTATCTGCATCTTCGGGGTAAAGATCCGTTCTTTCACTAAATGATGTGAATTTATCATATGATTCAAGATAACAATCTCGCTGCTTTGACAGGCAGAGATTGCTTCAGCGAAGTATATCATGAAGACAGATGATGATGCCTTTGTTCGAGTGGATGAAGTTCTTGCTTCTCTAAAAAGGATTGATGCACAAAGTGGATTGCTTTATGGACTTATCAACTCAGATTCTCAACCTCACAGAGACCCTGAGAGCAAGTGGTATATTAGCATGGAGGTAATTTTCCAAATCCAATTTTGCTTGTATGGGGAAAGGATCTAACATTGCGTGATAACCCAAGACTAAAAATTCACTTCACTTTTTTTTTTCTTTTCTTTTTTCACTCTTATGGGTCTTAACTAACCTTTTTTGCATTACTGAAAGCAAAAAGAAAAGAAAGAAAAAAAGACTGCCCTGAAAGGAACGCTAACATGCAAGCATTTGTTCCCCATGTTTGAGCTTGTCTGCTTCGAATTTAACCGACATTTCTGTTAAAAAAGAGTTTTTCCGAATATTATTCACATTTTTTAACAAGCTTGCTCATCATTTGCGTGAGTTAAAATATAATCAGTAGCTCAATAGGGTGAAGTCCAATAATTGTATAAACCCATTATATATTTATTTTTAGGAACATGATTTAAGTATCTTTACATATTTTAAGAAAAAGACTTAGATCTATGTTGGGAATAAATTGTCCTTTCACCCTACTTTATTAGGGAGAGGGTTCAATAGTTTCTTCAAAATGTCTTGTAATAACTTCTCGATTGGTAATAAAAAGTACGAGTGTTTTCCACAAACAATTGTGTTCAACAGCCTGTATACCGCGTTCTCGATTTATCTAATATTAGTCGGCCCCTCTTTATTTTCTACCATCTTATTTTCATTGATTGCTCCAATGTAGGCATGGCCCGAAGATAATTATCCAACATGGGCACATGGTCCTGGGTATGTAGTGTCTAATGACATAGCTAAGACCATATCCAAAAACTACAAAGAGGGCCGCTTAAAGGTATCTGTTATTTCTTCGATCGAAAAAGGTATTATTCCATAAAGGAAAAACTAAAAACAGGATGTCATTTCTTCAGATGTTTAAATTAGAAGATGTAGCCATGGGAATATGGATAGAAAACATGAAGAAAGACGGCCTCAAAGTTCAGTACGAGAAGGACGACAGAATTCACATTGAAGGTTGTAAGGATGATTATGTGGTTGCTCATTACCAGGGACCTCGGGAGATGCTCTGTTTATGGCAGAAACTTCAGGAAGGAAATGGTATTAGATGCTGTGGTTCTGATAACTAAGAGGTACTATTCTAACGGTCGAGCTAGTACATATTAAACAACGATACAAGGGTCGATCCCCCCTGAAAGAGAAAGAGGTAACATGAGAAATTTTACACCCTCTTAACAATTGCTGTGTAATTAGATGTTTGTGTAGAGAAGCCTATGAATTAAAGAGTTGCTTGAAATTTTGTACATTTCAAGTGACCGAGAGTGTCGTGTTAGAATGAGAGTTGTAGCATGTACAGTGGTATATAGTAACAATAGGCAATCAATTAAATTCTTACCAAATCGTTGCTTCATCACAATTCATTTTCAATGATGTTTGTGCAATTACATTTACAACTTGCCTTAATTCTGAACATATCTATTATTGATTATCATACAAAATCCATCTGCCTGCAGTATTTGGTATAATAGATGTATGCTCTACCTCTACCCAGAACAGTATGTATCAGATTATGCCCAAGTATAAAATCAATTGATTATCATACAGATTAGGAGCTAATGCATGTGCAGTTCACTCTTACTTTCCAAGGTGGGGAAGTTAAATGGCTTTGACTGGAACCCAAAGAGTGAAGATGCCTTTGACATCAGACCAGGCATGCCATCGAGCTGAATAATACCATCTTTAAGAAAAAGATTTAGATATTTAAAAAGTAGAATTCTTGTGGTTCCCGAGAATCTAGCTACAGGAGAACCAGAAACGGAGAGCTTTTCCCCTTTTCCGTCCGCCTCTTTGATCTTAAAAATGCTAGTTTTAAGAATGAGTGATTGCCCTTCTCCAACCCTTACTACCCAACCGGATAGCAGACAGCTAATGCGTTCCACTTATTGAACAGGGTTCTATGGTCGGTCTGCGACCCTTGGATATCGAAGGCGTCCGTGGGGTGATCTTGTAGTTCCTGCAGGGTGGAGACGATGGGGTCAGTCCATGGATTTTCCTTCCTTTTGCCGCATTTCGCTCGAAGGATTGAAGGGAGATAGTGCATCAAGTTGTTTGCAAGAGCCAACTTGATCCTCTTCCCCAGTGATCCCAGATGAGGGAACCCTAAGAGAGCAACCAACTCCAACTACCGTCCATGTACGATCCCTACTAGATCTGACCTCTAATATAAATACTCCTCCAACGTGACTGAGTTAAGGGCATAACTGTAATACCATATTAAAAAATACAACCCTTTATAATGACAATAGTATGATATTGGATCATATACTTTGGTAGCTTTGCTTTTAGTCTCTCGGTAAGGAGATATATTCATTATTTATTAATACATGATATTCTATTAATTAATTAATCAATGTCAACAATCTTGAACACATCTGACTCCAACAAATTCCAGATCCTTCTTCAACCTTCTTCTTTCTTCTTCAACCCCTCCTCTTAATACCCTCTTCTGCCTCCACTCACCCATTCTGTAATCCCTTCAATTCCCCTCCGATTTCCCATCAATGCCTTCCGAACCAGACCCCTCCGAGCTTTCTTCAGCCCTCGAAACACTAATTCTCAACACAGACGTGTCTCTACTGGCACCCCATTTTCTAGGTTTCGCCACTATGATCCATACAACCGCCCCTCAATCCCCAAATCAAGGGATCGAAACAAACCCCACTTTACCAGACCGGTTCATCTTCTTCAATCCTTTTCTCCATCAATTGATAATGATCCAATCCACTCCTAAGAACAGCCAGCCCCCAGCTTCCAAAGCTTCGATCATAGCCATGCCCTCTGTTCATGTCTCTGAACAAACCCAGTGCGTGATTTGCTTGGATGAGATCGAAGTCGGGGGGCTTGCTAAAGAAATGCCCTGTAACCATAAATTCCATGGCGATTGCATTGAGAAGTGGCTGGAGTTACATGGGTCGTGCCCTGTTTGTAGATATGAGATGCCAGTTGATGAAGATGAAGGGAAGAGGGTTGAAAACGAAGGGACTGAGAGAATGGGAGAAAGGGAGATTTGGGTGAGTTTTTCTTTTGATAATCCTATGGGAAATCAGGATCCTCTGCAAACTCCTTCAATTGATTCTGATCATTCTTATGTACAGTGAAATACTTATAGTTCATATATATATATATATATTTTCTTCTCTTTGCTCTGTCTCTGATTGTGTGTAATCATGCACTTTTCAAATGATTCCCTCAGATTAGAACAAAGATCTTTGATACTTTTAACAATTCTGGAATTATATTGTGAGTCAATTCAGTAGAACAACTCACTAAACAGACATGATTGAATTAAGTTCGGATGGTAATTGCCCATGTCCACATATATTGTCCGTACTAGGCTTTCCCTTTTGAATTGTTTTAAAATGCATTTGCAAGGGAGAGGTTTACGTACTCTTATAAAGATTGCTTCATTTCCTGCTCCAATTGATATAGATTTCCAACATCAACTTGTTCTCCTCTACTTTGATGTGGATAAATTAGCTTCAGAAGTTGAATTGTCACTGTACTGCAAAGCCCTTCTGCCATTCAACATCTCTTGCAGTGGCTGCTCCTTCTGCCATTAATTAAAATAAAATATCATCTGTTCTAAAAATTTACATCAGTTATGAATCACTCATATACATACATATACCTGGTTTGCAGCTTGGGAAGCATACTCGTGTTGAAGCATAATTAAATCTCGTGTGACAATTGCTCTACGAGGACTTGCTTTCGCTACAGCTTTGTTAAGTTCTGTTGATCAAGCCACTCTCTATGAGTTGTCGGCTCATTCTTCAACAGGCACGCGGTCAGAATCATGATCTTTTTCTACTGCTTGCAAGCTTACGGTTTCATGTTTTATTTTATTCTTCAATGGGTTTTTGTCACTCTTTCCTCACGTTACTACTCCACTATCAGTCATTCATGAGTATATAGCTTTACAAGGTGGTGCTTGTTGATTCACACGGGATTCCACGTACTCCATAAAAATATTTCATTGAAGTGAAGATACGAAGAAAGGCACTACAGACATTATTGTTGTGGAAGATTACCCAACTTTTAAATCTGCTTGTTAGATCTCTAAACTAGAGAACAATATGGTTGACAATGTTGGGCAGTTGAAGATAAGGAATTACATCTGAAATGATGAGGAAATTGTCGTGATTCATGACTTATTTTGAAGGTGGGTTTGGAAAGAGATTGAAGAATGAAAAGGCAACATGGAAAGAGAGGCAAATTGGAAAGGAAAAAAGGTAATGGGTCTTGTCTGATCCACCATGGAAGTGGAGAATGAGGAAGAACAAGTCAAATAAAAAAACATCAATGGTGAGCTGTTTTGAATGGGAAGAAGAAGAAGAAGATGATGATGAAGATGAACATTCTGGACAATTATGATGAACAAATTTGAAACTCAGAATTGGTCAACCTTGTAATGGATTATGAATGGAAATCTTCTCTTTTTTTTTTTTCTTTATTGAAAAAAAGAAAAAAAAAACTTTATATTCAAATCATAATACGATTATAACTAATATGAAGGAAGAGTACATGAATGAACTGAAGGAAGAGTACATGAATGAACTGAGACTACATCTGAACGAGAGCGATTCATATAGGGATACATGAATTAGTTGAGACCATATCTGAATGAGAGATGGTTAATATGTGGTTGGGTGGTTAATATGTGGTTGGGTGACCTCGTACAAATTTTATTCTCGAAGATACATGTTTTAGGTCAAATTATCCCATCCAATTAATTCTCAAAATTTTTAAACAAAGCTTTTTTTTTTTTTTTATACTAAAATATTATATTTAAAAAAAAATGGAATGATTAAAAGAAAAACAAAAATGCTCGAAAGTGGGTTTAAAAGAAAGTGGGAACTCTCCCTCTACCAAAGAATATTGAATCATTAGTTGTTAGAAAAATTTGGATACATGGATTACTTTTCTTTTTTCTTTTTTCTTGTTTTCATACAAAAAAAAAAATGTCTAGATGTTTCCATACCCTAATCCAATTGGATACCACAAATATTTTCGATTTCATTACTAAGTCGAACTACTCTCTATATTTTTATTTGATTTATCCTTAATTCCATCCATCTCATACATAGATCCTGCTTCCCGCTTCCATTGGAGAGGAAAATGAAGCATTTCTTATAAGGGTGTGGGAACCTCTTCCTAGTAAACGCATATTAAAGCTGTGAGGTTGACGACGATATGTAATAGACCAAAATAGACCATATTTGCTAGCGGTGAGCTTAAGTTGTTACAAATGATATCAGAGTCACACACTTGACAGTGTGCCAGCGAGTATGCTAGGCTCCCAAGGGGGTGGATTGTGAGATCGATGTGGCAGAGAAGACGCTGGAGCTCCAAGAGGATGAATTGTGAGATTCCGCAGACAGTGTGCCAACAAGGACATTGGGCTCCCAAGGAAGGTGAATTGTGAGATCAATGTGCTAAAGACGATGCTGGGCCTCCAAAGAGATGGATTGCGAGATTGTATATCAATTGGAGAGGGGAGGATGTGAAATCGCTCTTATGCGTTTTAAAACTGTGAAGTTGACGACTATACGTAACAAGTCAAGCTATTGCTCTCTCCACCCATACTTATGCTTCATACGCAAGATGTAGCTATGTAGCTCAGTACGTTAAATTAAATAATAATAATAATAATAATAATAAGTTTCCATGGAGAAAATATAGGGGTCTAATTGTGAAAACGAAACTTTTGGGGGGCTTCCGGAAAAGTCCACGGAGAAACAGGGGCAGTTTTTTAAAAGAAAAAAAAATAAAAAAAAGATGATTGGATATGCCTCCTAATTGTCCTGACTTGTTCAAACTGACACGTGTCCGTGACCAAAGAAAGATATGCCTCCTAATTGGACCAATGAGAGCCACTAGAAGAAGATATTTTAAAAAGGCAGATATGCTCCTTCACCTACCGACACGTGTCCATTAATCTTTTTGTAGTGTAGATGGACGGGTGGGATGCGTTTAGATGAGGCTTTTCGTGTATCTTTCTTGTGGAGACTGTGCTGATGTGGAAGGAGACAGTTATTAAGAGAGTGCTAGCTATGAGAGGCACCGTGGTGGGCCCTCAGCCACGTGTTTATTTTACAAGTGGGGAGCTCGTACAGCTAAGCAAGCCCGGAGCCGAGTACTCGCCCAAAAACTCGACGCCCAAACTCCCTGTAACTTATTCCTTTGTTCTCTTTTTTAAGTCACAATAAAATAGGACCAACTTTATTTATATAACTTTTAATTTCATTTTCATTCTAATTACGGTAACTTCGAATCGATTAAAAAAACATGCACATTGATGTTGTCGTATAACCTTTTATGCTTATGTTAGCATGAGAGACGTGATTAGGGTTACGATAAAAAATGATCGAATTTGAGCTGGCTCGAGATGACATTGACCAAGGAGATAGTGGGCACGAGCCTAACAAGTAGCTAACCATGGACTTGGGTTTCAACCCAAAAGTCCTTTTTCTTCTCTCTTTACTTGGTTGCTCAGTTCTCGTTCAGTTTGATTCATTTTGATCCACTTAGTTTCTTTAAGGTTTAGGGTTTAGGGGTTACGTTATTGTGGTCTAATTTACTACATAACAATTATCCTTGAGAAACATTAAGAGAGTGAGTTTAAGTTCGAGATACACGATTTAAATAACGGAAGATCCAATATTTGAAAATTGTGTCCAGAATGACCGAAAAAGTGGACGATTTTGTACATATATATATATGTATATATATACATGTGTGTGTAAATACTTTATTTAATAGAAAAAAAATGTTACACTAACAACCCATAATAATTGAATTTCGAAATTATGCGAGAAAAAATATCTATTAGTTTCAAATATGGCTAAAGATTTTTCCGTTATTTTTCTCTTACTCTTGGAAAATGATCCATTATCAATTATGCATTGAGATATTTTTCTAAAAAAAATTTTTAAAAAAATGTCAAGAATGACAGCCAATCCCAAGGGGACACGTGGGTAATAAATTATTTATTTTATTTAGAAAATAATTGTTTTTAACATATGGGTAAATTTGGAGTAGAAAAGTGTCCAATTGCACTTTGAAGCATTAAACCCCACAAAAGTTAATGGCTTTTCCACACAAAGCAATTGATTTAAATTAAATGCGTCCCCTAGCCAAACTCCCCACCTGATATTGTTTACCGTTTGGATCGACCACCGAAATATGCTTTGAGACCAAAAGGAGGGGCAGTGCTCCGCTTCCGATTCACGAAATAAGTAAAATAACGTTAAAAGTAATGATATTTTACTTTCATCTTCCTACTTCCACTTATCCTACACCTCTCAAGTCATTTTACAAAGTCAAACTAGAGTCAAGCTCAACACGGTCTTCTTTTCCTGTTGATTCTATCAAGCCCGTTCCCTTGGTTATGATTTCATTCGATAGTAGACAAGGACAGTAAAAATCTCGTTAATCCACTTATGCACATCACTAATTAGATGACGAGGTATTTCGATTTCTTAAGAGAGTCATAGTTAAATTAGTTGAATTGGTTGACTTTCACGTTAGAATTTAATTTAATGCAAGTATAAATAAAGTAAATAAAAAAAATTAATTGGCAAGGAGTGACGTGGCGATGCTGACATGGAATAAAAAGGATGAAACAGCACAACACTATCTTTTTAACCAATGTGGGGAATCTAACAGCACAATAAAGATCTATATGGCCACATGAAATTGTGGTTCATAACGTTTCTACCATTGCTGACGTGGAACCGCCCACCTTCTCCATTTCACACCCCCCCTCTCTATATCCTCTCTGTATGCCTCAATTTTCTCTCCGTAGATCACCAAAATAACAGGAAAGATCAGGAAGAACACTTCGATTCAACATTGAAAAACAAAGAGATTTGAAGAACAGATTCTCTGGTTTTGTTGGTTTGTTTGTTCGTTTAAATCCGAGAACGAAAATGGCTGAAGTCGAAGTCAGAGACCCAACAATCAAGCTATTTGGGAAGACGATTTCTTTGCCATTCAACCATGTCGATCATGATTCTGAATCCAAATTTGCTTCTTCAGCAGCTACTGTTCTTAATGATTCCCAGAAGGTTGGAGTTCTTCTGCAATTCGTTTCGTTTCAGAGTGTCTGTTAATTGAGTCTCTGTTTTTCTCGGCGTTTCAGAATCCAAAAATGGAGCTTTTTCGTTCTGGGTTTTCGTTTTTCTTTCCGATTTAATCATTTTTAGTTGCTTGTTCATCATTCTCTAAGCAAGAACAGGATTTGATTCTTGGATAATGAAGTTCAAAGATTGAACCGAGTTTCGTCTGATACTACTCTGTTTTAAGACGTTAAATTTGAATGTTCTTCTGCAGGAAACTTCATGTGAAGAACAGGGGAATGGCAGTGAAAAACAGAGCACAGAGCAAACGACATCGGTAATCAGTGAAAACCCATCAGTAGAAAGAGAAATTTCATCACCAAAAGCTGCAAAAAAGGAAGAAGAGAGCGATACAAGCATGTCCCCTGACAATAAAACCTTAAAAAAACCAGACAAAATCCTCCCTTGTCCTCGATGTAACAGCACGGACACCAAATTCTGTTACTACAACAACTACAATGTCAACCAACCTCGTCATTTTTGCAAGAATTGCCAAAGATACTGGACGGCCGGCGGGACAATGAGAAACGTTCCCGTCGGCGCCGGCCGACGGAAGAACAAAACCTCATCATCTTCACATTTCCATCAGTTATTAATTCCCGACGGCGGAAATGGATCCTTTCTCACTTTTGGCTCAGATTCTTCAAATGGGTTTGTCGTTGGTACAGAAAATGGAGATGACCAGTCAATTACAGCCTCCAATTCGTCGGAGAAAGGAAGTAAAATCACTTCACAGCAATCAGTAGTGAAAAAGATTGTCCCTTTTCCATGGCCTTATTATTCAATGTCTCCGCCGCCATTCACCCCGCCGGTGTATCCAGTGACGTATTACCCTGCACCACCGTACTGGGGGTACACAGCGCCGCCTTCTTGGACGGTAGTTAATCCCAACAGTGAAAGTTCGTTAACAAATTCCTCTGTTTTGGGGAAACGGTTAAGAGATGAGAGAAGTGTGAAACAGAGCAATTATGAACAACCCTGTTTCTTGATTCCAAAGACAATGAAACTGGATGATCCAAACGAAAAAGCTGCAGCAAGCTCCATCAATGGCGGACTTTTCAGCTCTTTCCAACAAAATTCAAAGGGAAAAGAAGAACATCACAATGAAAGTTACTCGCTTTTGCAGGCAAATCCAGCAGCTTTTTCTCGGGCTATGAAATTCCGAGAGATTGCTTAGTTCTTAGATCAAAAACGATGCCATCAAACAAACCCAAATCCCAATTATTCTGTTCTTGAGACTAATTAACCTAAAATTAGAGTGGAAATTATTGTTGTTTTCCAGTAGGGGCAGTTTAATGAAGACAAATCTGGACCCGACATCAGACATGAACCCCCATGTTTGTAGGTTGGAGCATTTGTTTCTGTCGAGCTTTTCTGTACATTATTATCACAATCGAGATATATACGCTAGATTCTTGCTTCAACAAAAACTCACAGATATTTGGATATGGATGAAGTTGATTCCCTAACTCGGTTTCGATCGTTTTCTTTGCATCTTTTCCTACGAGTCGATGACTATTCTATACCTCGAATCGAGAGGTATAGATGCCTTGAAAGTGCTGGGTGAGCTTAGAAAAGCTTTGATTCTGATATATGGCTGTGATAGTATGGAGACTTAGAGACCACATTTTGTTGTTCTACACTAAGATTCATTGTGATTAAGGAAGGGACCCAATTGCATGTGATGCCATAAACTTTCATTATCATGCTTCCCATCTCCTTTTGAAGATAGCTTCAAATCCACGAACAAGATCATAGGTAATTCATGTTACGAATTACGAATCTCCATAATGATATGATATGATATTGGCAAGGCACTGTTCCATGTAACTACTTACAACTTACACTCCGCTATCCATTCAAACTTTACGAACCTAGGTAATAATATCCCGATAAGGAGCTGACAAAGGGAATGAGCTAAACAGGGAGTAGGCAGAGGATCCCTATAGGCCGAACCCAGAATCCAGTTTGACCCTTGAATCGATCACGAGAATTCGAGTATGAGACTACTTTTACTAAAATAAAAAAGATGGGCTTGTGTATAAATTATTTGATAGGAATTGGAAGTATGAGTCAGAATAATATGTTATTAATGGAAGTGCAAATAAGTAAATAATTAATAATGCATGGTTTTTGGAGAAAGTATCTTAGAAGCAAAGCTTTTGAAAAGTGAAAGCAACTTTACATTCCACCCAAAAAGGTAGATTGGAAAAAGATAGAACAATTTGTGATTTTAAATAAATTATTGTATATGATCTCGATTGGAAGTCCAAGCTATCATCGTTGACGATTTATAGTTAGTCTTATAATATGTATATAGACTCTTCGTGAAGAATGTATTTTTATAAGTTTATGAATAAGTTACTTGCTAAATATATTTATATATTCACTCGTGGTTTTTTTTTTTCTTTTTTCTTTTTTTTTTTTCAAATAGTATTTGAGATATCGGTCGATGATGATGGTGTGATTAGACTTGAGCTGTGTGTTGAGTAGTGACCCTTCTCGTGTTCAAACACAAGAGATTGATAATAAGATTCAAACTATGATATCCCAGATTGGTTGGGGAGGAGAACAAAACTCCCTTTCTAAGAGTGTGAAAACCTTCTCTTAATAGAAGCGTTTTGAAACTTTGAGAAGAAGCTCGAAAGGGAAAGTCCAAAGAGGACAATATCTGGTAGACGGGTTTTAAAGCCTTGAGGGGAAGCCCGAAAGGGAAAGCCCAAAGAGGACAATATTTGGTAGACGAGTTTTAAAGCCTTGAAAAGAAGCTCGAAAGGGAAAGCTCAAAGAGGACAATATCTGGTAGAGCTCGAAAGGGAAAGCCCAAAGAGGACAATATTTGGTAGACGAGTTTTAAAGCCTTGAAAGGAAGCCCGAAAGGGAAAGCTCAAAGAGAACAATATCTGGTAGAGCTCGAAAGGGAAAGCCCAAAGAGGACAATATCTGGTAGAGCCCGAAAGGGAAAGCCTAGATGGGTTTTAAAGCCTTGAGGGGAAGCCCGAAGAGGAAAGCCCGAAGGGGAAAGCCCAAAGGGGATAATATCTGCTAGCGAGCCCGAAACGGAAAGCCGAGCCCGAAAGGGAAAGCCTAAAGAGGACAATATCTGGTAGACAGGTTTAAAAGCCTTAAGGGGAAGCCCAAAGAGGATAATATCTGCTAGCGGTGGGCTTAGGCCATTACGAATAGTAGCATGGTAGACACAAGGCGATGTGTCAGTAAGGACGCTGGCCCCAAAGGGGGTGGATTTGGCGGGATCCCACATCAATTAGAGAAAGGAAAGAGTGCCAACGAGGACATTGGGCCCCGTGAATTGTGATATCCCACATTAGTTGGAGAAGAGAACGAAACACCCTTTATACCCAAGATCTATTCACTCTATCAATAACCGAGCCGGATTTGGTGTATCACAAGGGATTCCTAGGGTACGGACCTCCCCAGAAATTATTTTGAAGATCCAAAACAAAAAAGAGTGACGAAAGGTCGAAGAATTGAAAAGCGGAAAGAGGACACAAAAATTTACTCTCCCATTCTATCTCATGCCAGCTGAAAGATGAGATCATTTGCAGTGTTTATGAATGTGTTAGAATAAATGGGTGAAACCCGTATGTATTATTGCATCACATATACATATATATATAGTTCACCTATTGTTGTGATTTTGGTCTGTACTTGTACTGCATTGCCCAAAATAGGTAGTGCACAAAATTTAATCCGCTGAGCACACACATCAACCAGTAGAATCTCTCAAGGTGATAATGGTTTATGTTTGTTCCAGATAGCCATGGATGGTGATTGGAGTTACCTGTGACGGTGTTGACGATCGAAACGATCACTGAGCTAAGGTAGTAGCCCATAGCCAGAGAAGCCCAGGAAAGAGATGTGGCCAAGGATCTCATGCTTGCAGGTGCTTCTGTGAAGAAAAATTCTAATGATCCAGCCAAGGAGAAAAGATCTGCTGATCCAAGAAATAAGTACTGGATGGCGATCCAAAGGAATGTGATGGGCAATGGTTGGGCAGAGTCGAGTAGACCATTTTTGGTGGCTACTCCCTTGCGCTTCGTCTCGACAGCTGCTGCAACTGCCATGGCTCCAATAGAGAAAACTAACCCAACTCCTATCCTTTGGAGATGAGTGATTCCCATTTCGGTTTTTGTTATCCTTCGAGCAAATGGGATGATTATGTGATCGTATACCGGGGCGAGGAACATAATGAAGAGAATAGGGAATATGGGGAGAGATGCAGGTGGAACTTTAAAGGAACCTATTTTGGTGTCCATTGTTGATGCTTGTTCAACTGAAAATGTAGAGAGCTGAGCCACACAGCAGTTGAGGATGATAGTGCAACCAAATATTGGTAGAATTTTCAACACAATCTTCACTTCTTCAACTTCTTTAACTCTACATTCTAATGCTGAATGGAATGGCTTTTTCAGAACTGCATTATTTAGAAACTTGAGACTCTCTGATGGTTCGTCCACAACATCTGTTGAATCTCTTCCTTTTGCATTCTGTTTAGCTTCTTTTCCATCAAGAGCTGGACTCATCGCCATACTCGCTATCGAGTTTCGTGAGTTCGGGCTAACACAGCAACCAAACGTTGCAGCTACTAAGACCTGATGATGAGTCAAAACACCAAAAGCTGATTCAGTTAACTTCATTTCTTGTCTCAAAATTCCATGCCATTTTTTGTTAGGAATCACGACTCTCCACAATGGTATGATATTATCCACTTTGAGCATAAGCTCTCGTGGCTTTACTTTGAGCTTCCCCAAAAGGCCTCATACCAATGGAGATAGTATTCCTCACTTATAAACTTATGTTCTTCCACTAAATTAACCAATGTAAAGACACGAGATCCACAAAATTAATTCACTTAGTGGAAGATCATGGGTTTATAAGTGAGGAATACTATCTCTTTGGTATGAGGCCTTTTGGGAAACTCAAAGCAAAGTCACGGGAGCTTATGCTCAAAGTGGACAATATCCTTTCTTAACCGACTTTAATAGAAGCATAGAATTAATTCTTTGCTGAAGTATAAATATATATATATATATATATTGAATTTTTTTTCTAAATTTCCAAATTTGAAATTCTAACCCCAAAAAAAAAACCAGTAAATAAGAAATTAAAATTAATAATCATTATATATATATATATTGACTTTTTAATAAATTTAGGTCAACCACCTCAAATATTTAAATTTCATGATTACATCAAATTAAAAATTAAAAAAAGATTAATATGTTTATAAAATTGAAAAGTAGAATTCAATTAAATGGTGGCAAAATTAATTATAAAAAATAGAAAAATTTAAATATAGAAATATAGAACAAAACGCTGTCGTTTAATTGGGTTTAATTAATCTAGTTTATAATATTTACTAAGAGAAAATTAATTTTATGAATTATTTATAATTTTTTAATAATCAATCTCAACCTTTATAACAATTAATTTTATGTTTAGAATTTTAGAGATGTTAAAGATTGGGATTAAAAAAAAAAAAACTTAATTATAATTATCCAAAAATTTTCACCTTCGAATAAGAGTCGATTAGCTCATCCAAAAATTATTTAATGAGAATTATCCAAATTTTATCAACTTCATATCACTTTCTATCACTTTCGTATAACCGTTTGCTAGGTTTTCACACACTTATGGGGTCCAACGTCCTCATTGACGCAATCACCGGTTAGGGAGAAGTTTTCACATTCTTATAAGGATCACTTGGGGAAAGAGGGGGTCAGCGTCCTCGCTGGTACCACCCTTACTCTTACCATTTGTAACGGCCTAAATCCAAAACTAACAGATATTGTTCTTTTTGAGTTTTCATTTCCGGGTTTCCCCTCAAGGTTTTGAAACTCACTAATGAGTGGTTTCCACATCTTTATAAGAAATGTTTTGGTCCCCTCTCTAACCGATATAGTGTCTCTCATTACCCTCTCCAACTACATAGGACCTCACATAAATTTTTTAAGGCCGAGAGGGTTCAAACTTTCATCCCTATAAATTTTTTATGGTTGGATTACACACTCAAAGTTTGTTTTCAAGGTCAAGCTTCCTAGTTTGGTAGACAAAACTAGTCGATTTATAGAACAGTTCTTCCTTTCTTCTTAAGGGACATCCGATAAAATTGGAACGATATAGAGAAGATTAGCATGGCCCCTGCGCAAGGATGACACGCATAAATCGAGAAATGGTCTAAATTTTTTATTTGTAACGACCCAGATCCACCGCTAGCAGATATTGTCCTCTTTGGGCTTTCCCATTCGGGCTTCCCCTCAAGGCTTTAAAACGCGCCTGCTATGGGAAGGTTTCCACACCCTTATAAAGGATGGTTTGTTCTCCTCACAACAAATGTGGGACATCACAATCCACTCCCTTTGAGGCCCAGCGTCCTGGCGTGGGACTGCCCCCAAATCCACCCCCATTTAGGGCCCAGCGTCCTTACTAGCACACTGCCTCGTGTCTACCACCTTCGGGGAACAGCAAGAAGGCTGACACGTTGTCCAATGTCTGACTCTGATACCATTTGTAACGACTCAGATCCAGTCATTAAGATGTTTTAAGGGTATTTTAGTTCAACAAATATAGAAAGATATCAATTTTTCGTTATCATAAAAGATAATAACGACGTTAAACATTTAATGGTGCTCCAATCGATCCATCGAAGACACTATTTTGGGCAAGGAAAGGTGCGTAGCTGATTGCCAGAAGTTTCTTGACTTGAAAGGCATAAAACAATAGACGTCGAGGAGATTAAGGATAACAAAAGAAAGTAACCTTAATAAGGAAAACAAAGCTCGAAGAACATTGAGGATAATATCATATGTTTCACCACTCTGTACCGGTTAGTTCCATATTCTTCGGTTACCTCTCTAATCCTTTGAAATCCCATCTGAGATTCACCCTCTTCACGTGGCTCCAACCCCAAGAAAGTCGATAAATGGTGGTGCTTTTTTTGTTGTCTCCGCCGTTACTGATGAAGATCCACCTCTTAGAACGTGAGATGTGGCCACTTGTGAGCCGCCTACGCCGTCGTTGGATGCTAACGCCACCGTGTTATATGGCTGGTATTGGTGGTGGCTGCGTGGTTCCATAAATCCATGGCCTGTTCCTTCCCAAAATCTGCTCTTGGGATCTGCACACGCCATCAAACCTTCATAAAAAATCATAGTACAAAATCGAACCTTGGATAAGACAAGACTGTTGGAAGATCGTTGGAAGAGAATACATTTTCATTGGTATGAAACTTTTTGGGAAAATCCAAAGCAAACTCACGAGAGTTTATGCTTAAATGGACGATATCATACTATTACAAGGATTCAAGACATTTTAAAGAAACCAAAAGCAAAACAATGAGAGTTTATGTTCATAAGTGGATAATATGATACTATTGTGGAGATCAGTGATTACTAACATGGTATCAGAGTCGTCAGAGTCATGTCCTTAATTTAGTCATGTCAGTAGAATCCTCATGTGTCAAACAAAGAAATTGCTAGACTCGGAAGGTGTAGTCAAAAGTGACTATGTGTTGAACAAAGGATGTACTTTGTTTGAGGGCTCTAGAGAAAGGAGTCGAGTCTCAATTAAGGGGAGACTATTCGAGGGCTACATAGACCTCAAGAGAGGCTCTATAGTATACTTTATTCGAGGAGAGGATTAATGGGAGAGAGTCCCACGTCTCCATTGGTATGAGGCCTTATGGAAAAGTCCAATGCAACGAGAGCTTATATTCAAAATGGACAATATCATAACTTCAATCTAATCGAACAACAAACCTTGAAGAACATTAAGAGTTGAAAGCGGAGAACATGAGCTGAAGAAGGGTTGATTAAGCCTATGATGACTGTTCATTGATTCTCCTCCAGCGGTGGCCATTTGGGTTAAAAAGCCATAATCAACAGCACCAAACGGAGAACGAGCTGTCGGGTGCCGGTTGTCTTGTTCTTTGGGAAGTACAAGGAAACTCAAATCTTCTTCCATTTTTCTATAAACAGATTGGCTCAGCTTCCTCCTTCTATATGAACGAGACTGCTCTCTGTATTTCCTCGCCATTATGACATGCCAATGATTCTTCACAGCGTTATCCGTTCTTCCCGGAAAAAGCCTCGCAATCATCGCCCATTTGTTCCCATATATCCTATGAGCCTGCATTAGCCTCTCTTCTTCTTCCTCACTAAACACCCGTCTATTAATCCTCGGATCTAATTGGTTAAACCATCGCAGTCGACAGCTCTTCCCTGCATAACCCAAAACAGAGAAATTGAGTAACTATTCCTTGCAAGGGTGTGGAAATTTACGTGAGTTTTGGAAATCTTACCGGATCTTCCCTCGAGCTTGTCCGCGATGAGATTCCAGTTTTGGGGGCCATAAAGGGCTACAAGCTCTCTCAATTTGGTGTCCTCAGCAGGCCGCCAATGGCCTCTAGCACAGAGCCTAGACTGAGCCCCACTGGCTTTATTTAAGGGCTCGTTCATGTTTTCAACAAACCCATCACTGAAATCAGTCTCTGAGCTTCTAGTGATGGACTCACATGAAAATGGGAAGTTCCAAACACCTCTCCCATTTTCAAGAACTTCAGAACTCTCTTGAGAAGAAGAAACAATGGCACGATTAAGATCAAGATTCAAACTTTCCTCAACCCCAACCCCAAAATCATCATGATCATCATGATCATCATCTAACATACCCATTTTAGTGGCTTTAGGACAAGAAAGTTTGCATCTTTTTCAGATTTATAGGCCAAAAACTTGAAATGATGATGAAAATGAAGATCAATAAGAAATGGGTTGGAAAGAAATGGAATATTGCAGTGTACGAAGAAGGGGAAACTTTAGAGGAGGGTAAACAGTAACAATAAGTGTTGTTTTCAAGCTGATTGAAGAGAAGACAAGAACATGAACATGCTGACGAACTTCAAGTTTGGATTTATTTGGCTTGATTTTGGTCTTTGATGTGTTGAATTCTTGATATTAAACTTGTAAAGGGAAAAAAAAGTGAAATTTATAGGACCCTTTGTGTCAAACATGAAGGAGATATTAATTATATTGATGTGTACGGATATATTTCTATTTATGAATGTCTGAAAAGTCAGTGGAGAAATCAAACCAAACAAATCTTATGCATCTTTCTTTGTCCAATCTGAATGCGTTCATAACTGCTAGGAATTTAATAAGAAATTGAAATGGAACTGTTCTACGCTATCATATCAGCAAAATAGCAGATGAACTTAATGGGGTGGGGAAGGGGTTTCTCTTTTGAATGATTAAGATGTTTCTTAGAAAGAAGAAAGCAAGTTTGTGTGTGTGTCTCTTGATTTTCATGGGGCGTTTGGCTCTGATTTTGATGGAGTGGACTACGATACGTTTATTTGGTCCACATATTTCGTAATATAATGAGCACGCAACTATGTCTATCTACTTCGACAGCGTTGATTATTTGTGTTGTTTGCACAATTGTCGATTTGAGTTGTTTGCACATTTGTCGATGAACCTCATATTTATCTCATTCATGTCATGTCTCCCTCGCTCTCATGTTCATGTCATTTAATTGATATGTAATACATTTCTATAATTAAATGTGAGATTCCTATAATTAAATGTGAGATTCTACTGAGTTTGAGATTGAGAGAGGAATGAAATATTCTTTGTAAGGGTGTAGAAACATCTTCTTAATAGACGCGTTTTAAAATTGTGAAGCTAATAGCGATATGTAATGGGCTAAAACGGGCAATATCTACTAGCGGTAGACTTGGGCTGCTACAAATGGTATCAAAGTTAGATATTGGGCAGTGTGCTAGTGGGGATGCTAGGCCTTCTAGGGGAGTAGATTGTGAGATCTCACATCGATTGGAGAGGGAAACGAAACATTTCTTATGAAGGTGTAGAAACTTCTCCTTAATAGACGCTTTTTAAAACTGACAGCGATACGCAACGGGTTAAGGTAAACAATATCTGCTAGCGGTGGACTTGGGCTGCTATAAATAGTATCAGAGCCGGACATTAAGCGGTATGTTAGCGAGGACACTGGGTCTCCTAGGAGAGTGGATTGTGAGATCTTACATCAATTGGAGAGAGGAACGAAACCTTTCTTATAAGGATGTGAAAAACTCTCCCTAACATACGTATTTTAAAATCACGAGACTGCTACCGGTGGGTTTGGGGGATGGCTGTCCCTGGTAGGCTATTGGTTATGGTAGGCATTTCAGAAACCAACAAACACAGTTATCTATAGAGAGAGATAGTTTTGAGTTTGACACCTTAGTTATTAGAATACACAGACACCCAGCCTGCTAAACGCTGCCCTGCCTGCCTCCTACAGCTGAGAAACATTGTCTATCACACTCAAGATTGAAGTTCGAGGAGGTTGTAGAGAATGTTTCAAACGTTCACACGACTTCGCATGCTTATACCAAAGATAAATTCTTTGAAACATAATAATTTCTGATGATACCTTCGTAAATCTAGGCGAGGAAGGGAGGAAGGGTGTTGAGATCAAACTTTTGTCCTTCCTTCAGCATTCAAGGGACATGGGTGGATAAGGAGAGTTTAATGATCTAATGGCTCAAACCCACCGTGAGTAGATATTGTCCTTTTTTAACTTTCCCTTTTAAACTTCCTCCCAAAGTTTTTAAAACGTGTTCTGCTAAGGAGAGGCTTCCACACCCTTATAAATAGTGTTTCGTTCTTTTCTCTAACTGATGTGGGATCTTACAATCTGCTCTCCTTTGGGGCCAGTGTACTCATCGGCACTCATTCCTCTCTCCAATCGATATGGGGATCTCATAATCCATCTCCCTTCAGGGCCCAACGTTCTAGCTGATACACTGTCCTGTGTCTACCCCCTTCGTGGCCCAGTGTCCTCAGTTGCCCGCCCAATATGATGTACAAAGAAGGGAAGAGAAGTTAAAAAGGGACCAGTAAAAGAAAGGGAAAAAAAAAGGTAGATATTTTGATGTTAAGGAATGTACCTGAAAATTACATGAATGGCTTCAGGCTTACATCTGCAACAGTAATGAAACAAACAAACTTGGAAGCATAAATTAGAGAGTGATGTTCTTTCTTGTTCTGTCTTTATTATTATTATCTCATTGGGAACCCCGAAATCAGAGGTTTCATTCAATTCATTATTTGGCATTGTTTGGCACAGTGTATCAGGAATGTACTATCAACTGTGACAATGGAGTGAACAGTAATGGTCAAAAAGGGCGGTTTGAACAACAACTACTAACCAAACAACACACTATCTCCATTAATGACTTATCAAACTCTCTGACCCAAACATCTCACACTCATGCTTCTTCATCTGCCCTGCTTTCCTAAGCCATCTACCAATCTAATCTTGTAGCTCTGGATATCTATACTCCATTTGGCTTTATACACACAACCAAAATCCCCTTTCAGGTACTTTTCAACTTTGCTTCTTTTAGGATCATAAAAGAACGCCCCTTTTACTCTTCTTGCCTTCATGGTTTGGTTTTACCTGCTAACAAGCCAACCAAAACAAGAAGGGAAAAAGAAAGAGATTTCATGAGATTTTGAGTTAATGGTTGCAGTACCAAATAAAACACACCCTACCCTTTTCTTTGGAAGTACTCCTTTTATCGACAGTGGGACTCCCAATGAGCTGGTATCACTGTGGTTACACTTTGTAAACGTGTGTTTTGAAGAGATGAATCACATTTACCATTTGGGAGATCACGTATTGGTTGGAGAAGATAACGAAGCACTCTTTATAAGAGTGTGGAAACCTCTCCCTAGTAGATGCGTTTTAAAATTGTGAAGCTGATGACGATAGGTAACGGGCCAAAGTGGACAATGTCTACTAGCGGTGAGCTTGAACTATTACAAATGACATTAGAGCCAGACATTAGACATTGTACTAGTGAGGACGATGAGCCCCCAAGAGAGGTGGATTATGAGATCTCACATCGGTTGGAGAGGGAAACGAAACATTTCTCAAGACACGTTTTAAAATCGTGATACGTAACAAACAAAAGTAGATAATATCTACTAGTGGCAAACATGAATTGTTAGAAATAATATCAAATCCAATCAACAGACGGTGCGAGACATTGGTTGGAGTAGAATTAGACCTTCTCCATGGTAGACACGTTTTGAAACTTCAAGGGAGAGCCCCAAAGAAAAAAAAACCCAAAAAAAGACAATAACTGGCTTGGGCGGTTACACGTCAAGTAAGAACCGGGGGTTTTCTTTTTAAAGAAAAAAAGTCAGACAAATGTGGGGTGGAGATTGGAGAATCAAACCCTTCAGTCTTAAAAGATGATAATAAAAGCTTCCTTCATTGAGCTATATTCAGCTTTAAAAAAGGGATTCTCTTAGTTTATGAAGGATTCAATGAATATAACAAAAGAAAGCTGCCTGTTTGAACTGTATTATGGGATAATCACAGTAATTTGCATTCATCAATGAACATATTTAGTAAAAGTGACAATGATTTGAAAAGGTTTGTTTTCGTGTAGTGTGTGTAGTCAGACAAAGAACAGTAGGAAGAAGCAGAAAATGAAGGCAATGTTGACAAGTAAAACTGTGTGTAACAGTCTTGCTCAACGCCTAAATTTCCCCCCTTCGTTAACTTACTTCCTTTCTGGTCTGGTCTGGTCTGGTCTGATCTGCACCAAAAACAACGAAAAAAGGTCTTAAAATTTCTTTGGAGGTTAAGTTTTTGGCATTTGTTTCGTTCTTCTGCCAATCCCACGTGCGGCCTTTCTTGCCCTACAGAACTGACCCTCTGACAGCTTCCTAATAGCAGAATTATTGTGACTTTTGACAGCTTACCTGAACAAGCAAACTTAGGATCCCCTTCTCACACACTTGTGCAAACTCTCTGTCCTCTTCATTCTCTTCTCTCCCTTTCATCATGAACAACAAGACCCAAAACTATCAGCCAAATCTTATGGCTTTCCAGGGGGAGAAACTTTGGAATTTTCATCAACTTAGATCATACAAATAATGTCATCAAGTTATGACAGCAATTCAGACTGGGTTATGTCATTATGTAATGCTGACAGAAAAGCCTCATTTGTTTTGGCTTCTTCCTAGAAAGAAAGATGAGGAACCCCATCAAAATGGCAGTGCCTACTAACCTTCTTCAACCCCAAATGGCCAGCAGAGGAGCAAAGGGTAGCTATGAGCCTGAAAATGAGTCTGTAATTAAAGAATTTGGTAAGGAAATGGCCCACAATATAAATGAGATTCGGTTGGGTTTGCTCCCTTGGAAGGATCCGGAATGGAAACTAATGGTAGTGGCGAAGGGTACTCTTCAATGCAGAAAACAAACAAATAACAAATACCCAAGACCAAAATCACTTCCATTTCAACGCCTGATGTATAAACTAAGCTAATGATATCAAATGCACAATATAAGTGTAACCAACTTAACTTCTGCAGAACATTCGTTCTCCTGTGAATCAGATCTGTGTTAGAGACAAGCAGCCAGAACAGATCCATAATGTATGAATACTGTGTAGAGACAGAATTAAATGAAGACCATGAATTTCAAATCAAAATTCATCCCATCCTTCGAGGGTGAATGATTAAAGAATGGGACAGGATCCCCTCTCTCTCTGTGTCTGAGCAAATTGATTGTAGGGAGAAAAAAAGAGACCAGAGGGTGACGACTGCAGACCCCAATTTGCATTTGCTGTCCCGAGAAACAGAGAAAGAGATAGGCCCTCTCACAAACTGTACCCATCAAAATCTGCCATGTAATGGACAACGTACCCTGTAATCTGAACTGCGACATTGATGCATCTCTGCAACAAGAAACCGGGTTGCACGGCTCATGTTTCAACAACCAAATGAATCATCACGCATTATGAAATCTCTCATTATTTCTAACTTTGGTGGAACAATATCTTGTTCCATTTTCCCACTAACTTTCTTCCACTAGAAATAAAATTTCTTGTCCAACATTAATGAGCCAGAGATTGGCATTGCCTTACCATTTGATTTGGGGGTTCACCTGTCCCTTTCTTCCTTAAAGTTTGAGCCTTTAGCAAATCCAACGACATGTTCTTTCTGATGAATTTCAAACAATGACCAAGGTATTAGAATATAAAAGTTGAGAGTTCTTGTAATGATAACAGGAAATTACATTTCAGATGTGATGATGTGATTTGCAATGGGGCCAACCTTGCAAGTCTCTCAAACCAACCAACTACGGTAGTCAGGGACTGCATTGCATCAACAAATGGTGGTAATCGCGGACGTGCTGAGGCTTTGTATTTTGGGTATTCTCTGTTCAAACAGCAAACATTCTGACTGATGATCTCTCTCAAGATGGGTACAATCTTGTAAATAACTCCAATCAAGTTAAATAGTGAAGGCCTGCATTAACAGATGAACATGGTGCAATGCCTGCTCCTGTCGATTGAGATGTAAGATCATTTCAATCACAGTTCCTGCACGAAGGAAGGAAAAAGTTGACATAAACTAACGCCAGCGATATTCATCCAGGATTTCATATAGCAGCACGTGTGTGTGGGACAGATGGGGATTCCAGTTCAATAATAGAAACAATAATAGATATTTGGAGGCAATGCAAACTTTTTCTTCACCCCATCTACTCGACTATGACCATCTGATTAATTCCCACTCTAAATGAAACAGTCCAAGCTCATCACCGCTAGCAGATATTATCCTCTTTGAACTTTCTCTTTCGAGTTTTTCCCAAAAAAGTTTTATTTTTAAAACGCGTCTACTAGAAAGAGGTTTTCACACTCTTATAAAGAATTTTTCGTTCCCCTCTCCAACCGATATGGAATCTCACACAAAACATGTTGAACTTCATTGCAAAGCAAAAAAATACAATAAATGAAAAGCACAGAAGACCCCCAAGGAGTATAAAGATCCATATATTTTCGTTGTTGCAAGTGAAGCATCGTCTACTAAATCACTGTTGCCAGACAGCTCATAAGAAGCATCAAATAAGTGAAAGGCCTATTATCAAATAAGTTGCATACAACCATGTGTACCACTTAATTAAACACAGGCATTGTAAATTGTATATACAAAATATCATTTTTATCTCAATACCAAGATGCCAGGACTACAAGTTTTAGCATTTGAAGAACCACAGGTCCTTGTGGTATGTAGGATCTAATCCATTTGGTGAAAACACTGAATACGTTGTCAATCCCACAATTAAAAAGATCGTCCAAAAGAGTTGTTAAACAAGATGCGTTGGTATCATTCAAAATAGGATTCATCGAACATTTACGATAGGTAATCATCACTGTCCCAAATGATACTTCTAAAATTATAAATTACTAGTACTAAAGGACTTAGTTGTATAAACAAATCCTATTCACGTAAGCTTGTTCTAAGATTACAAATTCTTGAGATTCAAAGTCCTAGTTAAACATGGTGAGCTAGAGGGCATTCCATAGAAAGTTGGACAGTCAATACAAAATGTACAGATGCTGAGCATCAATCAAGATCTTGCATCATAAAAATATCGACATTCCGAACTTAAGAAGTGCTTCGGTTGGTCTGTCTCTATCAAAGAATTAAGCGCTCGAGACTCGGCTAACAGAAGATCATAGATCATACTTCTTTTCTCAATTTCTTTTCCAAAAAATTAGAGGTTTTTAAAGTAATAGTAGCTTGACACCCAGTTGAACCTCATACCTAACTTCTTTCTACCGGGACGGTTGGCCCCTCCCTTGGAAACGAGAAGGATAAGGGACTTGGTCGCCAATCTAAGACTTTGACGAACAAAATCGTCAAAGAAGTCCAAATGCCAACTACCTATAAATGGATTGTGTGAATTATTACTGGCTGCAGCAACATGAAACATGCGCATAGCTTACTAATACCACTTGAAAGTTAACTCCATAGCTACACTACGAATCAATTGATGGACTCGCTATCATCCATAATTCGATGTAGTTGTCGACAGTAACAAGCCACTGGTTCTAAGTCATCGTTGTTCAAGTCCAGCCAAACTCACTTCAATATTGCAGAGAGCCATAAGCAAGGTAATCAAGTGAAATACTCTTTCAATTTTAACAAAAGACTGAAGATTCTATAATTACTTTTCTAGAATGTACAGTGAAAATACACTAATATAGACGTATAGTTTCATAAATAATCACATCCGAAGAAACTATGAAACTAAAGGAAGCAAGTAACTCACTTCAACCATCTGCCGTCGACGACTGCAAACGCATTTCTAACAGCCTTGCTGTGAACTCCCCATCACTAACCTTCAGCATTTTCGACAAAGAAAGTGACAATCCATGCTCAACTAATAAACGATGGCGCGGTTTAATCTTTCTCTCCAAACTAAACGAAAAATATTGCGGAAACCTTCTCAATTCCGATAAATCACCCTTCATGTCTCCTAAGAAATAATCCACTTTAGGAACCAAATTGTTTTGAATGCTATAAGTCAACAACGCCGGAGACCTTAATACCATATTAACCACATCCTTGTGCGATAAGCCCAAATTTTCTAGGTACTGAATCTTGGGTAGAAGCGTATGTTCAACGCTCGAGACTAGTAGCAATGTCGTCTGGGACGTGATGGCATTCAACCCAACGAATCCTAGGTCGCGCAAGAACTTCAACGCAGGTCGCAATTGAAGGTCCAAGTCGGAGACGAGAAGTCTAGGACATCGAACTATGGATTTCCGAATGTCGGGAAATGGAATTTGAACCTCATTGAGAAGGAAATCGAAGATAGGATAAAGATCATAGTCCGGGTCTGAAGTGAGAAGCTGAGGGTACATGTCGAGGACGCGTCCGACTGCAGAGAGCTCGAGTCCCATGGAAGAGAGACAAACCTCAACGGACTTGACGGCGGAGAGAGTGGCGGAGCGAGAATCGGGGTTTTCACGGAATGCTTTCCGGAAATCGACATTAAGGTGATTCTCGAGGTAGAGTATCTTCTGCCGGAAAAGAAGGCCGGCGTCGGAATGGTCGGAGAATTGGGAATTGAGGGAAATGGTGAACCGAGGTTTTCTGAAATTAGGGTTTCTCAGAGGGTTAAGAGATGGGGCTGAGGACCGAGGAAAGAGGAAGAGATTCCATGGAGGAAGATTTTGGACTCTGCTCATCATTTCAGACACCGAAGATTTGTTTCCTGTGGAGGAAGACGATGAAGAAGAGAAGTGGCCCAGAATTTTTATTTTACTTCAAAGTTTATTTCTTTAAAACTTAGATAATGTTTTATAAAATTACCGGAAAATAAATAAATTGGTAAATTATATCATAAAATATATAAAGTATCTATTGGTCAATAAAATTTTAAATTACGGAGATTTGAAAATTAATTTTATTTGTTTTTTTTTTTAATTAGAAATCCAAATATGTTTGATAACTATTTACAATTCTTGTTTATTGAAAAAAAAAAGTCATTTATTTGCTAAATTAATATATATACATATAATATAAAAATATTTAATCTCCATAGTCTCGATAAATTTTGCATATCTTCGACGATTGTTGATACATTACTAAAGTCAATGAAGAGATTATTTTCATGATCATTCTGACCTAATGTAATTTTGAATAGTACAACATATTATTGATGCATATGTTTCATGTGTTAGGGAGGGGAACGAAGCATTCAGGGTGTAGAAACCTCTACTCAGTAGATGCGTTTTAAAATCGTGAGGTTGACAGTGATTCGTAATGGGCCAAAGCGGACAATATCTATTAGTTGTGGGCTTGAGTTGTTCATAATTGATGTGTCTGTGAGAACGTTAGGCTCCCAAGGGGGTGGATTGTCTCACGAGGGTAGATTGTGAGATCTCTTGTTGGTTGAAAAGGGGAACGAAACATTCCTTAACATCACATTGGTACATTGGTTAGAGAAGGTAACGAAGTATTCCCTACTCCTACATTGGTTGGAGAGTGAAAAAATGCAGTGGACTTGGCTCTAATCGATATTTCGAAGATTAGGTGGGAAAGTGACGAAGGGGAGAGGGTGAGGGAGAAGATCGAGAGGTTGGTACAGGCAACTAGCATGCTTAAAAAATGAATTTTCTCTGTTTTTTATTTACCAAACCCTAGTTAACCGAGTGTTGGTCAACCCTAATTTTTTAACCACTAAAGTCAATTCAATTAGCTCGAACGATCATGGCCAACTTAAACCGATCTATGTAAGATAAAAATTAGAATTTCGAAGTTAAACTAAACATAATCCAAATATTAAAAAATAAAAATACAATTTACTCAAAGAATTAGAGGTTTATAATTCACCCTAAGTGTTTAATTGAATAATGTGAAAACTTGTTGCCTCAACGGTAAACGTGTATGGTGTTAAAATAAAATTAATTGGTAACCGTACAGAATTTAGTGGTTAAAAACGGGTGGTAATTTTCCACCGCAAATTATTATCAACATGTGGTTAATACCTTCTTGCTCATCGCATCTCGTAAACAGAACCCCATCAATTTTGTAACAGAACGGAAAAGAGATACAACAAACCCTATCTCCATCGGAAGAATATCGCGGGGGGGTTTTGGTACAATGCAATTGGAAATTCGTGGTGGAAACGAAAAGCCGATTCCAAAGGAATGTTTATTGCAGAGTGAGAAGAGGAAGAGAAGGATGATGGTTTGTGAAGAATGGGAAGAGTAAAGCTCAAGATCAAGAGGCTGGACAATACAAATGGCCGCCAAGCAACTTTCGCCAAAAGAAAGCACGGTATCATCAAGAAAGCTAATGAGTTATCCATCTTATGCGATATTGATATTATTCTTCTCATGTTTTCGCCGACTGGAAAACCTTCTCTCTGCTCTGGAAAACGCAGGTATGCTTTTCCGTTTTAAGAAATTTCAGTTTCTTTTTATGTAAATCTGGATCATGAATAATGTATTTGCATTACCGTAATGAGATTAGCGTAGTGCTGGATCATGAATGAGTAGAATGGTTGAGATTAACTTAGCATTGAATCGCGAATGAGTAGAATGGTTGAGATTAACTTAGCATTGGATCGTGAATGAGTAGAGAATGGTTGAGATTAACTTAGCATTGGATCGCGAATGAGTAGAGAATGGTTGAGATTAACTTGGCATTGGATCGTGAATGAGCAGAATGGTTGAGATTAACTTAGTGAATTAGCAGAATGGTTGAGATTAACTTAGTGAATGAGCAGAATGGTTGAGATTAACTCAGTATTGGATCATGAATGAGTAGAATGGCTGAGATTAACTCAGTATTGGATCGTCGATCATGAACGAGTAGAATGGTTGAGATGATGAATGGGTAGAATGGTTGTAATTGGTTGTTCTTCAATACATTCTTAATTTGAATTCTTCTCTTTTTCCCTTCTTGTTTTTGCAGCATTGAAGAAGTGATCGCTAAGTTTGCTCAACAAACTCCCCAGGAAAGAGCCAAAAGGTAGGATCGAAACCTTGAGTAGTTTGTACCATAATTTAGATTGCACATTTCCTCTACCATGGTTTATGTTTTTCAATATCTTTTATAAATATATAAATAAAGTATATTTATTAATCTCACTATAAATATAAAATACTTGGAGATTCAAATTCTAGTTAACAAAAATATACATAATAACTCTAACTTAATTTTTAGCTATTTTTATTGATTTGAAATCATAATATCAACATTGACATCAATATATTATTGACCAAAAGTTGGGGGTTCAACCAAAAAGAGTTCTTAAAAAAATTAATGGATTTTGTAAATTTTATTTTATTTTCAATTGTGTGTTAATATGAAATGCCTCATGTATTGATATCTAAATGTTTAAAGAAATTAAGTTAGTGAAAAAAAAAAAAGTGTTGAAAACAAATTATTTGAAAAAATAAAGTTGTATTTTGTGTACTAGTATTTTCGATTTTATGTTTAGTAACACATTTTTTGAAATTAAATTCCAACTTAAACCATATAATTGGTCAAAGGGTGTCAGATAATATAGTAATAAACCATAAAATAATTTTTATTACCAACTAGTTAATGTATGAACAATTTTGTACTAGAAGGTATATATTTAAATTTTATGCATTTAAATTTAACAAAAATAAAATAATTTTGTTACATCCTGTTTATCAAAGTTTTTATTTTTTTTCTTACAGGCATTTAAAATTTAAAATTTAGAATTGATTACATGAAAATGTTTTTAAAATTGGATCCAAAAACAATTTTTAAGAATAAGTCTAGCAAAGGGATATGGATTCAATGGATATAAAAATATTAAATATAATCATAATTATTATCTTGGAACTTATGTATGTGATTGAAGTTTATATGAGCGTAGCTCTATCGTTTCCTTCCACTCGGCATTCAAACAAGGAAGGAAAATATATAATTTAATCTCGATCCCTTTTAAAGTAACACTTTTTTATACGATTTGAAAATAGTTTTGAATCACTTAAATAGTGATAATAGTCGAGCAATTCATCTGAGCATCAAATATACAACTTTTGATTGGATTCATAATTGCCACTGACATGTGTTCTCTCTGATTGGATCAGGAAATTGGAAAGCCTTGAAGTAAGTAATTTCACAAATCATTTCACTTGATTCTTTCCCCCTTTTTACAGAAATCAAAATTCCAATACATACTTATCTCCATTATGCGTTTCGTCAATTTCTTTTGAATCTTCTAGGCACTGCGGAAGACTTTTAAGAAATTGGACCACGATGTCAACATCCAAGATTTCCTTGGGACAAGGTACAATACACTCTGTTTAGCCTCATGGAGTTCATAATTGCGCAACAATCTTTTGATATATTTCGTTTGTTTTTCGTTTTGTTTCAGTAGCCAAACGATTGAGGTACACACACCTTTGGACTAGCTTTATTGGTATGTACGATTTGTTTAGAACTCGTTGTTGATGATCAATAATGGCAGGATTTGGCTGGCCAAGCAAAGTTCTTACGGACTCAACTTTCTGAAGTACATCAGAGATTAAGGTCAATGGCCGCGAATCTTTTGAATCTAGTTTGTTAAGTGAACTTTTTGCTGTTCCCAAATTTTGTATTTTCTTGTTTATTCTCTGCAGCTTTTGGGGTAATCCTGAAAAGATCAACAACGTCGATCATTTGGCCCAAATGGAGGATTCGTTGAGAGAATCGCTTAATCAAGTTCGAGCGCACAAGGTATCAATCACTTCATTTCTGTTGTGGTTGGTGCTGGAGAACAATCCTTTGAATCATAGCAATTTAATTAAATTCCTGTTTTCTCTACATGCTACACTGTTCCTTGTTTAGAGTCTTGTATGCTTGAATCTTATAATAAAAATTTCACTTATTTTGGCAGGAAAATCTACAGAAGCATCCTCCAGTGCCACTAGAGTTCGCTAATCAGGTGAAGAACGCCGACTAGCTCGGATATTATCAAGAGCATATATAAAAGTCCTAACCAATCAGCTCAAGTTTGTGGGTTTTTAGTAATTATGGTATTAAATTAGAACGAAAAGCCATAAGCGACCACAATACTAATGGGGTCAGGAAGAAACTTAAGCTACACACTTACAAGCGAGGTGGGAGAGCATTAGGAATATAATAAAAGTCCTGACCTATCAACTAATATATCCTTATAGTTCGGTGGTAGTTTTCGCTACTTCAAAGATTTTGTAAAATTACTTCGATTGCAGATGCAGGATGGAATGCATCTTCCTTTCGATATGAGTGTTGAGCAACAGCTTCAACAACTCCAACACTACTCTTGGATTCCCAGTGATGCTCAAAATATAGTGTTACATGATGATCCCAACTTCGCTCCCCATAGGTAAGAATGAAATCAACTGTGTATGACTTTGTGATTAGACTAAAAGCAGTGCAAGGAAGTGGAAGAAACTAGATAATTGTTTATATTACTGTATGAATGAGCTTGTAACGTGATAATATTACAGAAAACTACTATTGAACATATTATCTCTTCTTTCTCTTAGGGATGTGGAGTGCTCTGCAAGTTCCTCTTTTGCTAGTTACCCTGGTTATTTCGGCACGGGTAGAAGTCCCGAGATTTCGAACTCTGGACACGAGAATGGCGTCCTCCCTGAACTAATCAGAACAGAACCTCTAAGGCCCCAGCTAGGAGGGCAAAATTCCTACATGTCTTATAATGTCAACTTTTTTAATGACCCGAGATTTCAACCAGCAGCAGAGATGAAACTACCAGTAAATCCTGTAGATTATCGTGTTAATGGGAACTACGACACCGCCCAACTCAATT